CAATTTTAAAAACTTTTAGGCTGGCTGCATGGTATGTCAATGCTTTATATAATAGTTACAACATTTCAGCTTTACTTGTAATTTTTTGAATAAATTTAAATCTTTTTTGATTTCTTGCAATTCAGTTAGTAGTTAAATAAACATTAATGATTTTACTTAGTTATAATATTTAGATATTTGCTTGTTTGTTTTTTTCCTGCAAATTTAAACAAATTATCAAGATAAAAACTTTTATAATATATGAAAATACTTCATTCTTACAAACAAATTTCATGTCTTTTCCTTTTTTTCTTAGAAATATGTAGTGAACTCAACATCTAACAATGGTAAGGCTGTTAATTATAATTTTAAACTTGAAATTTATTAAAATTATAATTTGTCTTGTAATCTTAAAGGGATCCCAATTTCCCAACACATCGTCAGTTGAGAACCAAGAGGCCGTTTGTCCACATTTTGTGTTTTTTCTGTTTATTATCAATAAAAATTCAACAAATAATGGGTTATGTGTCCAATAAATCTCTCAATAAAATCTCAAATAATAATGGGTTATGTGTCCAATAAATCTCTCATAAAAGTCTCAAGAATGATACAACTTTTTAAAATACTTAAAAAATTAGTTGGATATTTTGGCAAAAAGTCTTTACAATTTAAATTTTAAAACTTGATTTTCTCGGAAACACAAAAGAAGGCCATACAGCATCTTGGTTTTTGGCTGACGACATGTTGTGCTCATATTAAAGATAATGTTGACAAAAAAGGTTTGAACCAAGTTTTTTTTGATTAAAAATAAATATTGAATACATACCAAGAAAAACTAATCTTGTTGTTTTAGTCGAAGCTTGCCTTCTCTATTTTAATTCTCTATTTTTTTCTCTATTATTGCCTTCTCTATTTATCTGTAGATTGCTACGTATAATTTAAAGACTCAAAAAATGAGTCTTTAAATTATACGTAGCAATCTACAGACTTTTGTAAATCTTTTGAAGCGTGTCTTATTTCATAAAAGTTTTAGTATTTGATGTTATTATTTTTTTAACATACAGCAAAACAAATTTATTTGTATTATTTTTCGAAACATCGCAAAAAAAAAAATTGTAAAAAGTAAAAGTAATGAATTACTTTTATTTTATAGGAGCAACTTATATTTCATAGGTATCTTAATATTTTTTAGACTTGCATATCTTACTTATATTTCTTTTGTTTTTAAACTAAAACAAGTATTAAACTTTGTTTTACCAATCTTATGAATTTCATGAGTATTTTACATTATATAGAATGTTATATATAAGAGCTCTCATTTTTGTGCAAAAGAGCACAGTATTATATATTCTGAATTTTACTTAATTTCATTTAAACAATGGGAACTATTTTCTAACTTCTATGGTCATTTTTACGCTTTAACATTTTTTGTTCTCCCGTCAAAAAAAAGTATTTATTAACAAATAATTTTATTAACTGACAGTATTAATTATAGATATTTGATGAACTGTTAAATTTTTTTATTAATAAATTTTTTTAATTACACTGATTTAATTTAAACTGTCGTAATGTGTGTTAAAAAACATATTATATTTGGTATTTTTCTATTTATGTGTTGTATTTGGCATTTGTCTTTTAACATAGAAAATGAAAACATGGAAAATAAAAACACGGAAAACTAACAAAATTGACAAATACGAAATTGACAAATACATGTTTTCCAATAAACGCTACAATGATACACAATTTCGCAACCTAATAGTCATAATAACTACTATTTTGTAAATAAAACAAAATACAAAATAGATGTTTCTCAAAATAAATTTAATTAAATATATTTTCACATAAGATAAATTTTGTGAATATGTGAAAACACCAGAAATGAAAATTTTACAATAGACGATGTGAAGGCTGACTTTATTGCGCAAAATTCGAGTAGTTCGGAATGTCAGACAAGAAAACTTTGTTTTTCTCTAATATATTTTCCATACTATGAGAACAAATATGTTTTTTTTATCTTATAAAAACAACAAAATATTGCATAATTTTAGGCTTTTTATTTATTGCTTAGTCTAAATAATAAGTAAAATTAGTTCAAGTTAATATTTCAATATTTATAGTTGCAATATAATAAAAAAAAAGATATTTAATGTTTAACTTTTTATATAGTTATTTATTTTTTACCTACTTTTGTTATAAAAAGACTTTAGTACCCCTGCCATCAAAATCATTTGTTTTAAATATATTTTGACATGATTAATTAAACTAAAGTTTTTAGTTTGACTTCCCGAGTTTCATGCAAAACAAATTCAGACAAATTATTGTCTTACCAAATAAAAATGCTGTTACTAATTTTTATATGGGTATATAAAACAGTTTTTTATTAGAATCTTGATTGAGATAATAAATACCTCATCATTTATTAACATTAAATATAGCGCAATAAGAATTTATAGCAACAAATGAGCATAAAATATTTGAGGTTTTTAATATCTTTTTAAATGTTAAAATTAGAAAATAA